GATAGATAGATAGATAGATAGATAGATAGATAGATAGATAGATAGATTGCTTTGTTCATACCCGGAGGGACATTTGGTTGCCGTAGCAGTTTGGTAGTAGGATACAATATTGTACAAGTAAAAAATAAATAATATGCAGTCCTGTGATTAGTCCATTTCTGTGATTGAGGCTCTGACGGGGGCACATGAGTTGTAGAGTCTTATTGCCATAGGTAGGAACGATTTCCTGTATCGTTCTTTAGAGCAGGGGGATTGAATGAGTCTGTTGCTGAAGCTGCCCTTCAGCCTGTCCAGAGGGGGATTCTCAGCTCAATCAACCAGTGCAGGAGATGGAGACATGTGGAGAAAGAGAGGATAAGGGGTAGGGCAGCGGGACTTTTTAAATGCATACCTAGTGGTGTTGTAACAGCAGGTTCTGACAATCTCCTGCTTAATACCATAAAAATACAGCACCTTGCCCATCCCAATGTGTTTTTTGTTGAAGCAGTTTATTTTAACCACTGCAAGAGCAGTCCCTCCTAAAAAGTCATAACACCGCCTTCAAGTCAGGGGACAAGGCAGTGTACAGGATAGCCAGGGTGGACCTGACAAGAGGCGTTGGGAAGCCAAGGCTTTCAAGCCAAGCTTATAAGTGGAAGATTAAAGATCCCTTTGCTGAAAACAACCCTGGAAGGATGTGGCAGGGGATAATCACATAGCAAACAACAAAAGCCATGACTTGGCTATAACTAGGAAGGATGCCTTGCTGGTAGAGGATTTAAACCACTTCTTTGCCTACTTTGAGATGGTCAGGGCCTCAGCTGTCACATCACTCCGATTCCCCTCAGCGTCGGCACACTGACACTCCAGGAGCATGAATTGAGATGTTTGTTAAAGACAATAAACCCCAGGAAGGCGGCCAGCCCTGACAGAGTACCTGGTAAGGCATTTAGAGCGTGTCCTGACCAACTGATTTGAGCTTGAAAAAGTTCACTTCAGGCAACTGGACGTGAAGTTTTCTAGATTAGAGCGAAACATCATGTAGAATGCTTCACGTACAGTTGCCTAAACTGAAGTTTTTCAAGCTTGACCATGACCTGGATGACTGAGAATCTTCACAGATATGCAACCAACTTATTTATGATCTTGGCAATAATGAACAATTCAGTGCAATGACCAAATACACTCAAGTAAAAATGAGCTGCTTCATCTCATGTTTAAATGCACCTGCACTGACACACACTGCTACTGTAATGATATATTATTGTCTTTATTTTATGCTAATATTGTTTTTTACGCTCTTGTTAATTGCACCAAAGGGAGTTACTCTCCAATTTGTTCGTACTCTGTACAATGACAATAAAGCCTATTCCATTCTAAGGACCTCAAACCATTCTACCATAGAGCTACTCATCTCAAATATCGAGCCTGTTATATGTTCCTATATGCAAACAACAGCAAGGGTACCTCAACAATTCCATCAGTTTCAGAATCATATGGAGTGGTTCATATACTTTTTACACCAAGGTGGAAGTAATGTGGTTTTGTCAGGTGGTTCATAAAATTTGCACCTTGATCTTAGTCTAATACATATCTGATCTTTTAAAATACCACCTGTGTCTGCACAGCCAGCACTATCCATGCAAAGCTGGGAACATGCATGCTTACTTTTATAAGGCAAGCTTTTAAAACAGAAACCCATTATGGCCATCACAATTTTAAGTGATGTATGACAGAAATGGTGTAATTGATCAAACAAACCTTTCTTTTAGAAAGATTCTTGTTACATACATTGAATTAAAGCGGAAAGAAGAAAATACTAAATGTGTGACTTTTCCTGATAGTCACCTTTTTACTCCAAGATGTGACTATAGACTAAGACTGAAATTATTAGCACCACATCTTTGACGCTTGACTTAAGCTTTATGTATTTCCATCAACAAAATTTGCAACTTTTGTTTGAATTTGATGTTGGATTACATTAATTTATTTGTGATGAATAACCAAAATATCATACAACACTGATTATTGTAAGCTGTAAACTGTAGTTACATATCAGTTCAGATGTAGTTCCAGTGCTACAGATTTACAGAAAGTGTTCAACAATGTTAGCCTCTTAGTTTATATGCATAACGTTTTGTTAGGCTCATAATAATGAAGACCCATTTCTCATTTACTTTTGTCTTATTCTCCCACAGTATCTGGCGTTACCAGAGACCTCGGTAGGACGCTATGCATATGTCTATGATGCTGGTGTGAATGGCAGCGCACTTTCCCTCTGTCAGCAGTACTTCAAGAAGGGGCGAATAGACCCGGCCAATGACACTTTCAGCATAGACCCTCGCATCATTACCAGTATGTTAACTGCATGGTGAAATGTGCTGACATTGAATAGTACTAACATAGCTTTACAGTTGTGTCTGCTATTGTGGGAACTGTTTATCAGTGTTACTAGGTGTTGCTGCAAAACAAAATACTTTCAAATGTAGATTTAGGAGTAATCAGAACTATTTTTGTCATCTCAAAGCAAGTCGTTTCAGCAGATTTTACCCAGACTTTTTTCAGATAATTAGAAAATAATTAGAAAAAAACTTAACAACCGTAAATATTAGCAATTCCATCTGAACTACTTTATATCAGATACTACTGAGATTCTAAAGGATCATATCATTTAACACATCATTACGGTTAAACCAAATAAGTGTTGCATGATTTGTAATATAAACTGTAACAGACCATCCTAATGGTATTTAGTCATCCAAGCTGTTTTAATTAAACATATCTTAACTTTATGTAAAGAAATTGTTATAAAGGTTTTCTTCACCCTGAGACACAAACGCGAACTTCGGTGGCTTTTATAATATATTATTATAAATGTCTATACATTGATATTTCGTCATGTATAGACAAATCAATGTCAATACATTGATATTCCCTGTCTTGCTATATTAACTGGTCGAGAAATAATTACCTGAGTTATTTTAAATGGCTTTTATTGCAGACATGTCTTCTATATTTTAACAGATATCACTCTCTTCACTGTTTGCACATTTAAACTACATTTTTTTGCTGACAGAGATTTTTTTGTTGTTTTAATATTCCTTAATATACATCCCCATCCGTTTAGGAAAAATAGGCAGTGTAAATATGTAATGCAGTGGATCACAGCAGGAGGCACATTCATTACATATATATAATTGATTTGATAAGAAATACTACATATATGTATTGAAGTTCATGTTGTTGTTATTTTTGTACAAGTGAAGGTTTAGCAGTTTTAGAGGACATGCCATCAGCATTGTCACTGTTCAGAAACAATTCAAAACATCATATTGTGTCTCTTACATCTTAGAAATTAAAATGATAGTTCTGTAATGCACCCTACTAATGAAAAGAGAAAACTGACTCTAAATAAGGTATGTGCCTATCTTTCCCTACTTCCTGTTGATAGACTGCGTTGGTATCAACCCCCTGTCGGTACCTTCAACTCTGCTCACCAACAGCTACAGGAATTTTACACTCAAGTTCCACAAGTAAGGCTTAAATTTTCCCCCCTCATTTTTGGCTTCTGTAAGTAAGGTTAAGTGCTGTATCTGAGGATAACACACAAGTAAGTTATCTGTCATGCATAAACAAACCATATGTAAGCTTATGTCTGACTCAACAGGATATGGTTAGAATAGGAATGCATGGTAGTCCTTGCTGGGGTGTGTTTGTTTGGTCAGCTGAATTCCCTTTAAAAATGTAAAAATAACTGTGTTTTTTGTTCATGTCTGTGTACTGTTTTTATCAAGGCTGATTAATGTTACCATACAGTTCCAGCTGAAGGCAATCAATATACAGACTATCATCAACAACGAGATCCCTGACTGCTACACTTTTTGCATAACAGTAAGTTCAAAACTTATAACTTTACGAAGATAGCTAAAAACTGCTTTGAAAGACAGTTCCTTGTAATCAGACTTCGAATGTTTTAGTTTAAGAACAATCTTTGGACTCTTATTTAAGATGATCAGATGCAGTCACCTCACAAAATTGATAGTAGATTAATTGTCTGCATGGGGAAGCTTTTTCCTACAGTATATTAACCATACAGATTTTAACACTGCAATTAAAAACAACATAAAACAAAACAAGGGTGTACTGAGCGTTAATTAGTCCTTCTGGTTTAAAACCAAAAATTAACCTCTTGGTCCATGTGTTGAAAACCTGAAAATCAATCTAGACTTGGATAGCTGCATAGCAAAATACTGTTGATAATTGTTAATGCATTGACCTGAAGACAACTATTTTAAAAAATGTCACACAAGGACAAGGACCTGAAGGGAACCCATGCTGACTAGCGGAGAACATGCAAACTCCAAACGCAAAAGCCCCCTGTTCCATAGGGATTTGAACCAGGAACTACCAATAAAAGAGACAAATTACTTACATTTCCACTGGTCAAAACATACTACTAACCACTGTGACATTTTGAATAATATTGGTATAATTTATTCATGAGGACCAACTGTCCTAGACACTTGACAGTAAACAACACAAAAAAAGTTCTAGTTTACTACTCTAATTTTGGTGCCTCGTAGGAGTTTGCATTTTCTCCCTGCATCTGCATTGTTTTTTTCTGGGTACCTCGGCTTCTTTTCTCTATCCAAAAGTGTGCTTGTTGGGTCAACTGAATACTTGGGGTGCATGTCTGACTATAGATGCAGTGGGGCAAAATAGTATTCAATCTGCCACTCATTGTGCAAGTCCTCCTATTTAGAAAGATGAGAGGTCTGTAATTCTGATCACAGGTACACTTAAGCTGTGACAAAATAAGGGGAAATCTCATTGTTGGAATTTGAAAGAATTTATTTGTGAATCATGGTTGAATGTATTTGGTCAATAACCATGATCCATCTTTAATGCTCTCTCTGATAGGAGGAGGTTTTGGCTCAAAATCTAAGGGTACGTGGCCACATTAATTCTTCCCTTAACATGGATCAGTCGCCCTGTCCCCTTTGCAGAAAAACAGACTCAAAAGCATAGTGTTTCCTCCCCCATGCTTCACAGTAGGGATTGTCTTCATAGAATGCAACTAAGCATTTTTCGTCCTCCAAACACGACGAGTTTAGTTTTTCCCCAAAAATTCTATTTTGGTTTCATCTGACCACATGATATTCTCACAATTCCCTTCTGGATCATCCATATTCTCTGGCAAACTTCAGAAGGGCCTGGACATATACTGGCTTGAGCAGGGGCACATGCCTGGCACTACAGGATCAAGTCCCTCTCGCTGTAGTGTGTTAATGATGGTAGCATTTATTACCTTTGTTGCGTTGGTCCCAACTCTCATTCATCAGTTGGTCATCCATCAGGTCCCTCTGTTTAGTTCTGGGATTTTGTCACACCGTATTTATGTTCATTATGACCTAATCGGATGAGATCTTGTGTTGGGCCCCAGGCCTGCTTGCTGATTGCATATTCACTTTTCCCAGCCTGGAGCAGATCTACAAATTTCTTCCTGGTGTCCATCGGCAGCTCTTTTGTCTTGGCCATGGTTGAGTTTGGAGTCTGTTTGAGGCTGTGGACAGGGTTTTTTTATAAAGATAAAGCGATCAAACAGCTACCATTAACAAAGGTAACATGTGGAGGACAGAAGAGCTTCTTAAAGAAGCTGCTACAGGTCTGTGAGAGCCAAAATTTGCTTGTTTGTGGGTGACCAAATACTTGTTTTCCACTGTAATTTACGAATAACCCATAAAAAATCCAACAATGCGATTTCCTGGATTTATTTTTCTCATTTTGGCTGTGTACCTATGATGAGAATTACATACCTCTCATCTTTCTAAGTAGGAGAACTTAAAGTGGGAGACTAAATACTTTTTTCCCACACTGTATATAATACACTGATACACACCACTCAGATTTACATTAATGACATTTGAATTTCATTTGGACTAGAAAAGTGTTATGAGATGGTAACAAAGAGAGGGAAGGTAGTCAGAACTGAGGGGATTGCACTACCAAAAGGCGAAATTGTCTGCGGCAACGTCAAATTGGAACCAAGAAGAGACTGCTTGGAAAGCTGCAAATGCTTGCAGATAGTAAGACAAATCTTGAATAGTCAGTTGAATGGTACGAACAAGATCAAAGCCTATCCCCTTCTGGGATAATAAGCTGGCCAAAGGAGGAGATAGAAACCACTGATATTATGACAAGAAAGCTCCTTACCATGGAGGGTTTCATCAGGGTCGACTGGTGAGTGTCGGAACCACTATCCAGGATGAGACAACAAAATATCCTTAAATGCAATAGGAAGCATTGTATAAGCGTTCACATGATGTATGTAAAGGGTTAAGTTGACAGTGGTTACCAAAAGATCCCAGGAACAACATCCGAGATCTAAGTCAGAAGAGCATAGGCCTTGGAACATTATGGGCAGGACCTTCAAGCTCTCAGGCCTATGGTGGAGAACCTGAGCTTGAAAGATAATGACTGCCCCGGAGGGCACGTGGACAATCTTTTGTATGTTTGCGTGTGTGTGTATGTGTGTGTATATGTAAGATCAACACTATATGATATAATATAGATATCTATTGTCATTTTGACAGTGTCATTAATTATTTGTTAACAATGAAACGCTGTTAGTAATAAAATACTTTTTCAAGAATGTTGATAACTTCTCTTTCCAGATAGTTCTTGACAACAAGGCTCACAGTGGCAAAGTGAAGATCTGGTTAGAAAACCAGGCAACAATAAAGGAGTGTAATCACCCGAGTGTATCTGGACATGGTGAGACACCAAGGGCCTCATTTGTGATTAAAACATATGCGTATAATTTTGAAATGGTTGGAATTTGTACATTCAAACTTAAATGGAGACTGTCCACAACAAAGACACGACACCTAGTCAAACATCTACATTTATTTTCTATCACATCTTAGACAAACAATTAGAGCAGCTGTATTTATTTTATTTGCTAGATACATCTGTTATTCTGTTACCTTTCCCTTGTAAAAGAAAAAAGGCTAACATATATCCCAAGTTTAATTCTGTTTGGAATGACTTTTGTTTTTTTTCTAAACCACTTTGCAGTAAGTGGCTGTTTTCTTCCATTTATCACACAGCATATCGAAATTAAGCACATTTACAAAAAGAAAACATTAAGCATGGTGATCAGAAAAAAGTATTGATGATAAAATGTGGGTGTGTAGAGGGATTATATGCTTATCCCTTTGTCTGTGTATTTTGAATTTGAACTTAATTTGAAAAGAAATTTAATTTCCTACAGTAGACAGTACATTGTTGCCAGAATGTAATGAAAGACGGATTACTGCTCCTTTTTTAAAGAAAAAAATGTATTCCCTTAAACATCTAGCTGAGAACTATACACGCTTGGCATTTGATGTGGCTGTTACTCTACTGTGCCTGCTGTCTCTGGTGCTGTGTGGGCGCTCCATACTGAGAGGCATAATGCTACAACAGGTCGGTAAAGTTTCACAAGTAAAGAAAGATATTACCACAAAGACTTAAATTCTGTGCCGATTATGACCATAATGCTCAACAATAACAAACAGTGATTCAGCTGCATAAATGACTTTTGTTGCTGAGGCCATTTCTGTTGTTGCATGCAGTTTTTATGTTTGTTTGCTTCCGTCTCCAGGAATTTGTACAGTATTTTAAGGATACTCTGGATCGTAGAGTGTGCTGGACTGACCGGCTTGAGTTCATTAATGGGTGGTATATTCTACTCATTGTCAGCGACATCTTTACCATTACTGGCAGCATCATCAAAATTGGCATTGAGTCAAAGGTTTGATACCCGTTCAAGTTGTAGCTTCATTATGTTCAGGGGGTTATTGGTAGTGATTACTTTAATGTAAAATGATGAAAAATTGTGATAAAGCAACATTTCTCTGTGTTTACTGTCAATATTGTTTTTCTGTTGACAGAATATGTCATCTTATGATGTATGTGGCATCCTGTTAGGGACCTCAACTCTTCTGGTGTGGGTAGGAGTCATTCGCTACCTCACATTCTTCCAGAAATACAATGTAAGTCACAGATCCTCTGATTTTGTAACATTCTGTTCTAATTCTATAATAATTAGAAATAATGGGAGAAATGGTTATGTTGAAGAGTTTAATTAAATGTAATAACATATGTTATTTAGTTTTGCTCCTGGTCACATGTTCATTTTAATTTCTTTGGCTTGTACACTGCAGATCCTCATCATCACACTTCGAGCAGCATTCCCCAATGTGATTCGGTTCTGCTGCTGTGTAGCTGTCATCTATTTGGGTTACTGCTTCTGCGGCTGGATTGTCCTTGGCCCATACCATGTGAAGGTGTGAATAATATTTAAGATAAGATAAGAATATTTTCTTGACATGACTGTGGTCATTTGGCGTTGTCTGTTCACAGCTTATTAATTACCCTGCCCTTTGGGCTTTATTTGAATGACAATTTTCTCTTTGGTTACTTAAGGCAGACTTCCTTTTAACTCTTTTTCTTCTTCATTGAGAAATTGGTAGTTTCAGATTTATGTTCTAGTGTATCATGTATTGAAACCACTCCAGTGTATTCCAATGTGAAAAGTTGATTACTTTTTGAATACTTTTATTTACTTTATTATATACAGTAACTCGCTATGCTGCTTAGTGCATTAATTTCAAACCTAGAATACATTTCTTTATTATAACTTTCTAAAGTTTATAAAGTCTAAAGTTTTTTTAAAAGTTGTCAGATTTGTTCAAATGTACATTTCCAAGGGGCATTGTTAAATATCAGACTATTTTACAGTTAAAAAAAAGAATACCTGATTTCCATATATACCTGAAAATAACAAATAGAAATATATATTTTGTTGAGATGATTCTTTCTTGTAAATCATAATTGTATTTTTCCTGCTTTTTCAGCACGTTTCTATAATATTTCGACTTTTTAAATATTTGTTCAACACAGCATAAACCATAGGTATAACAACATATAAACACAACATCAAATGGCTGTGGATCAGACGGTATAATCTTTGGATATAACAAAAACCCAATTGAAACTGTTTCTATGAAACCACAGAAACTGAACCTGCTGTTTTCCTTGAAGATATGCTGAATGTTTACTTAGAACACTACTTCAGCTAATACCAATTTCTCCTTTTTTAGTTCCGTTCTCTATCGATGGTGTCAGAGTGTCTTTTCTCCCTTATTAATGGTGATGACATGTTCGTGACGTTCGCTGAGATGCAGGACACTAGCCCGCTGGTGTGGCTGTTCAGCCAAGTTTACCTATACACTTTCATCTCTCTCTTCATCTATATGGTCCTGTCTTTGTTTATCGCTCTCATCACAGGAGCTTATGAGACTATCAAGGTAGGAACTAAATTCACAAAAGCTAATCTAGAGGAAAGTTACTTATATTGTAAAAAAATATTGCAAAATCTTCTCTGCGGTGAGGAGAACAAGAATCACTCTCATCATTATTATTATTATTATTATCAGCATACCTATCATGCTGCAGTATCTTTTAAAATGTAATTCTGTGATTCTTTTAACATAATAAATACAGTATACAGTGGAAGAAAATGGATCATAGTCACTGCAGTGATTTCAATTTATTTCAACAGCATCAAACTCAAGAACCTATTCACATCACAGACCTGCATGCCTTCATAGCAGAGTGCACAGATGCACCAAGTTCTGGGAAATTCAGAGGTCTGGAGACCTCACCATGCTCTTTCTTCTGCTGCTGTGACCGGTAACTATAATTGATCACCCTCCAAAATATAAAATATATAATATATATTACTCCAAAGCAGATTGCATTTAAAACAGTCATCCCATTAGAAACATGTTCATGTTAAGGAACATGTTAAGGAATATTAAGGAATAGTTAAGAAAAGTATTTTTTTTAATCACGTGTCAAGTCAAAACTGACTTTTTTTTCATTGTCTTAGTTATTTTGACCATATATTTTAAGGACATGTTAGTAAATCTATTATCATTATCAGACAAATTCTGCTTGAACTTTATTTGTTTTACTTACCCAGAACAACAACATATGAAGACGTCTTGCTCGTGAACTGAAGTCAACTTCCACATACTTTGAGGCTGTATCAGCTCTTCCCAATGGCCAATCATATAAATAGTTGAGGAGAATGAGGAGATGCAAACAGCTTGTTCACCTACCACAAAAAGAACTCCAACCTTCTTCTTAGAGCTTTTGTTTTTCCCTTTTCCTAGCTCTAGCTCTAATAAGATGAAATCATAAATGCTGAACCTGTCTTTGATTTTAGCAGGATCGAGGAGCATCACAGATAACTAGAACATAAATATTTTTCTTTTTTTTGTTTGTTTGTAGAACAGTATTTTTTCTGTGTGTTTATGCACAATACTGACCTGGTAAAAGACCAGGTGGGCACAAATGCCATGATGAGAAACGTGTCATTGCATTCTTGGTGCTAATTATTTATAATTATTATTTGTTTGTTTTTTATTGTAGTTGTTTCTAGTGTTTTTTAAATAGTATTTTAAGTGTAGACCATTTTACTTGGCCCAGTTTTACATATTATAATTGCACAAAAATAAGATGGTAGATTTTAACAGTAGAACAAAGAACCTCTATTCCAAATTTACAAATAAAATTGGGACTGCACTGCATGAGTACAAGTCTCATGTTTCTATTTAGCACAGACTCTGCTCTTAGTAGTGCTCACTATATAGGCCATTTACTGTCTCATTAGTGATCAATTTAATTGCATACACTGACTAATGAGGCCCTCTACATGCAGATGTCTCTTTAAGAAACAAACTGCTCTCAAAAACTTCATCCATTATACAAACGTTTATCGTTCCTCCTCTTAATTTAGTGGCAACACCAATGCCCATTTAAATGCTACAGTATATCTGACTTGTTTTTCAACATTGAATATACAGTCCCTGGAAAAAGTATTTTCAATTCTCTATTTTGTAGAAACACACAGCTTATATACTGACTTTTAATTCATCCATTGGTTTTAAAAAGGCTCATATTAAGGCTAATACCCTCCCAAATGATGTATACTATATAAAACAGATTTGCTTCACTGAAGAAAGATAGATCATTCAATAAATCAGAGAGGGTCAGAAAGGTCAGATTTCGGATAGACAAAAATGTTGTTGCATAGAAATCTGCCTTGAAAAGGCAAAATGTTCGGTTCGGAATGTAAGCTAATACTTCTTGATATTTTAAGCTATTGATATTGGCTTGCACCCTGCAGATCTCTCGCACACTGGATGTCACCCCAGACCATGATTTTTCCACAACCGTACTTAACTGTTTTCTGGGTGATTCTCGGATCTATGATGGCTCCATTAGGTCTCCTACAATATATATGGGGGCTGTGATGTAATTCAACCAAAGTTTGATTTGAAAAATCCATCTTGTTCCACTTTTCCAGCATCAATCCTTTAAGCAGGCTGTGAGCTTGACATATGCAACACTTTTTTAATTGGCTTTTGTTTAGTGCTGGTTTTTGGACCATGGAAGCCATTTCGAGATAGATTTCAATAAACTGTTCTTGTTGACACGGGAACTCGAGTTGACCAGGCCGTGTGGAGCTCTGCTGCAGTGGAAAAGGGACTGGCCTTGGATTTCCGAGCAGTTGTGTTGCAGAGTCTGCTGGAGCTGAGCTTGTCAAAAACATCTCCAGTCTCTTCAAATATTTTTCTTATTCTCTGTACTTGACGCTGAGACACATTGAAGGTTTCAGCCACCACAGCAGCAGATCTGGTCTTCCGCCTTTTGATAATCAATGCTTTGTTCTCAGGGTGAATCTTAAGAAGTTTTCAGTGGTCAAGTTGATGTGAAGGTCTGGTGTGCTTGGGTTATTTTTATACTCACCAACTATTTAATTGATCGATTATTGATCACAGGCGAGCCTGTAATCTGGGAATGGGTGCTTCAGATGACAAGGTGACAAGACTTTTGTGGCTTTACCAAGCTGTAGACGTTAGAATGCTTTCCAGCAGTTACATTTGGCAACAAAGCATTGTTAAAAAAGCTGTTGGGATTTAAATGAGCCATTTATTGTTTGAAAAAATTATTAGATATAATTTTAGAGGCACTTAAGGTAAACTTGTTCCCAAGCGACAAGACTTTCGTCAGGGACTGTACTTAGCTTTGTGTGACAACTAATAGTCTAATTTAGGACAGTAAAAGTCTCTTTGGCATATATATACAACAGTCTTAGCTTTAACCAGTATTTAGTAAGATGGCAGACATATTGGCAGTATCACCATTTTATGGAAAATAATTTTATGAACAGTGGATTTAAATATCATACAGATGTATGTTCAATCGATCGATTGATCTTGTTTCTCAAAGATCTATCTTTCCTTTTAAATTATGTGTAAAAGTGTCAGGTTTTGTTTATACATTTTACTGCACTTGTACTGTATTTGTGAGATACCAACAGTGTTTTTGTGCTATAACAATATCATATAAAATACACTGCCAAACTGTTGTGGAAAGTTTTCCTGCATTGCCTAGTTATGAAAGCAATACTTTATTTTTGTATCTAATTTGGTTTATACAGGGGTGCCCAAAGACCTGAAGCACCACATTCCTGCATTTTTTAGAAGGTTCACTGCTTCAACACATATGTGGCACATAATGGCACATGGATGTAAATTAGGTTTGTTGAAGCAGGGAAACTCTAAAACTTGCATGACAGTGTCTCTCGGGGACCAACTTTCGGCATCCCTGATCCGTAATATATAGCTGCACTTCCATTGATGTTTGATGTTTTTGAAAAGCAGCTCATTCAGTGATACAAATAGATTTCAAGTTTGTTTTTCTGCTTTGTCTGCTGTCACACATCTGGTAAGCACTGCACATTTCTGTTGAAGCTGAATGAATTAAAATTTGATAGCCTCTCTACAAGAACTGTCTGATAAGATTAGTTTGTTTCCTTTTTACTGAGCTCCCCAAGCAGTGTTGACAGCAACGGTCGCGCATCATCCACTTAACCTAATACCTTCATACATGTACTGCTCTAACCATGCCTCGTGCTTGTGTGTACTGTCATTTAAAGCATCCTATAGTAGCTGTTGATTTACCCTTCTGGGGAAAATCTTTTCTGTACAGTTTCCTCATGTTTATTCAAATAGAATGAGCATATGCAGGATTATTTCATTTGATGACATTATTGTGCAATTAAAATTCAAAGAAAAAAGCTTTTTTTTTAAGTTCCATTTATGAGTCTGAAAGCAACTTCAATTGCTTGATTATGATTCGCCTTTCCTGGTAAATATACACTCAAACGATGACTCAGCAATTTCATGAGAATGTGTGTTCCTGTGAGCCTACCTGATTTCACAGACTTGTTGCCTGCAGATGACACTAAATTGATAGAATTAAAAAGGATAAAGCCTGTGTATGAAAGCTGTTTGAATTAATTGTCCTTCCGGATTCTGTTAATGATTTTTATTCCAGTCAAGGAAAATATTAAGAAGCAATTTGAGATTGGCAAGATAGATTAAATTATTTTTTTCTACTGAAGCTCATTCTTCTCCATATACTCACAAAAAACAAATTATCTGGCATACATCTGTATTCAATTTAAAGCAGAGCTGTGTATATCAATCAATCAATCAATCAATCAATCAATCAATCAATCAATTAATCAATCAATCAATCAATGTTTATTTATATAGCACTATACAAAAACCGGAGTGGCGGCGTGATGTATGTAGAAGATTCAATTCTCTCTTGTCTTCATTCCAGTCATTCAGTTAAATTTTATTTATATAGCGCCACATCACAACAACAGTTATCTCACAGCGCTTTCCAAAGAGAGCAGGTCAGACCCTACTCTGAAGTTAATTACAGAAACCCAACAATTCCCACCATGAGCAAGCTCTAGGCGACACAGGCAAGGAAAAACGTCCTTTTAACAGGCAAAAAACCTCAAGCAGAACCATGGCTCAGGGTGGGCGGCCATCTGCCTCGGCCGGTTGGAGGTGAGAGGGCGAGAGAAGGACAGAGGGAGCAGAGAGAGGCAGCCTACAGTAACACATATAATTGATTAAAAATGGCAATGATATTGATACTAATGATAATGATAGGAGTTATGACAGCAATAACCCTATGCAGAGTAGTAGTAGCAGAATAAGAACACGGGGACAGCAGGAAACTCCCAACCACAGATCCAGCTTCCACAGCTCTAGGAACACCTGCAGGAAGTGATAGGAGGAGACTCCCAACCACAGATCCAGACCCCACAGCTCCAGAGCCAGGAATATCTGCAGAGAGTGATAGGTGGAGAGAGGAGAGAGGATGGGGACGAGAAAGCGCACGACTACGGGGAAGGGAGAGAGTCCAGTTAGTAAAATCGTTAATGGTATGAGGTTGCACCGGGAGGGAGAGAGAAAGGAGAGGGGAGCTGGTACATCATGGGAAATCCCCCGGCAGTCTAGGCCTATAGCAGCACAACTAGGTTTCAGCCAGGTTTGAGTAAGACAAAATAAATCAATCTCATAATCTGATATTAGTTCATTTACTAGCACACCTTTAGAGGAGAGAGATCTGATATTCAAGAGTCCACATTTTACTCTCTTTTCTTCCTCTTCTCAACCCTGGATTGTCACTGATCTAGTCTGCTAACAAAGTTGGCTAGGTTTCTAGAAATGAAAGCGGCTCCCTCCCCCGTGGGATGGATGCCGTCTCTCCTAATCAGGCCAGGTCTTCCCCAGAAAGACTGCCAGTGATCCACAAAGACCACATCATTAGCTGGGCACCACCTCGCCAGCCATCAGCACAAAGATGACATGCGGCTATACATGTCATCACTAACCAGGTTGTGCAGGGGGCCAGAGAAAACTACGGTGTCCGACATTGTTCTAGCATATCTACAAACTGACTCCACATTTATCTTAGTGACTTCTGACTGACGTAACCGGTGTTTTATTGAAAAAAATGTTTGTTGCAACATTGCAGCTGCAACTCAAAGAAAAAAGCTAAATAACTTATTTTACATCTCTTATGTGTCTCTATAATTAGTGAGAGAAGATGGTGTTAAACTGATTTTAGGAATTTTCAAGTTTTACGTTGGATATTGAGTTGGAGCTTACAGTCTCAGAGAATAGACATTGGACATTGTTTAAAGTACCAAAAATAAACCTATGTGGGAAATTTTAGCATTGTGTATCTGTATGCGTGTGTGTGTTTGTGTATGTAGATTTGTTGTTCCCTAAAAGCACCTCCAACAAAAGTGTGTGAACCACAAGGGTACAAATGTTACACACGTTATTAAGCACAGTAAAATTGTGCTGCACATTCATACTAGTAAAAAAAACTAAACAAATGCATTTTTCATCTCAAATCAAGATTTTTATGTTTTATTTTTGTTTCTACAAGTAGACTTTAAATGTGTCTACTTAGTGTAGACGCTGCTCGTACAAAAATAAACACCCTATTTGTGAAAACATTTAGCAGATTTCCACTATTGTCTTGGACGAAATAACGTGACTCCTGGGGGGTTAATTGCTGTGACGATTGCGGGGAGAGCTTCGTTCTGGCTGCTATATTTCTTGACCAATTCAAAATACCCCTGAAGCAACCACGCCATCTATGGAAGCACCGCTGTGTGGCTGGGTGTTTTGGTCTTAATTTGACGTCACTCCTGCTTTGCATAACCACGAGTATCAGGGTTTGATCGGGCCGTTCGTGGGACTTAATCTGCATCTTTGTCTTTGTGGCTGGTGTCCACCACACTTGTCCTTTGTCGTGAAACTATACTGTTTAGACCCTCCCCAGCTAAGACCCCGACAATTCATTCTTCAGAAAGGACAGCCTGATTCTGCTCAAATGCGTGAGGAAGGACATACAGAGGGACCAGCCTGTGAGTCGACGGTTGTATGGTGAATTGGGAGGGACATTTACGGTTTTGCATGTATCTTGGCTTTTTGCCAGATAGAAAGGGACAACCTATTCATCCCATCAGAAATATTCTATATCACAATCGAGGATTAAACGGTAACAGACAATTTGGCCTATACGTTGTAATGTTTCCACCTTTGACAAAATTATGTCTGTACAACTATTCTTAAATAGGTCTCGTGCGATGTTTTATTTATTAGAATACTCGGCTTTCTTTCAAAGGTTAAGACCCTAATTGCAAAATGAAGTAGGCCTAAACAATTCTGTATATTTATGATATAAATTTTTGCTTGTGTGTTGGTACCAGAGCCAGGCATTTATTTATTTACGACTTTCATGCTTCACCCCGCGAGCTCCTTTTGTGTTTGCCCTATTGTTATGCCAGGCTGAACTGGGCCTTTACTTAGCTTGAGAGAGTTCGGCGTTTTTTCCCCCCGCAGTGACAAAGGGTATTATTAAATTTGGGGCTTGAACAAATACTCAAATGGTTTACAAAAAAGTCCTCTCAATGTAGCTTCCCAGAACCATGAGTTTTTCCGTATATTGTCTCATATTGTCTTACAATATAGGGAAATATTATCTCTCTAATTACTAATGCATTTTGATTATCTGAAAGAGCGTGCACTGTAGTTTGCTGCCTAACTTGCATCTGTTATCCTTTATTTGCGTCCATGCTTGTGAATTAATGTTCTTGATTTATCGTGGCAGTATTAAATGAAAGCTATCTGATTGCTCTCTGTAGATCTCAATGATAGGGGATGCTGTTTATCTTCGTGGATTTGGCTTGCAGTCGTCATTACACAACCGCTTGACGGGGCGTGGTATGCTTTCGATGTAGGAGCGGCAATCATTAGTTTAAAGAGCTGAATTACTTTTTATGTCATGTTTTAAGTGATAATACTGTAAAATGTTGTCAGATAATAGATGCTTTTCAAAGGTGCCTTTTAGAATGAGAAAAATAAGTCTTTGTACTGTTGAATCTTATTTGTGTTGAGCTTGCTATAACTTTTCGTGGTCGTTTAAAATGACCACATTGTCCCAGTATACATCCCTGGGAGGGTCATTGATTTGATCTTATGTCTGATCTTATGTCAGTTACTCATTATTCTTTTTTCTATTTGTCATGGCATTACTTGAAATTTAAGGTGTTCTGATGAAATTCACAGTTTTTCCATTTGGCACTGTTGCTGCTTGATATTTGTTATTCATCTTTTTATCTGGTCTGCTTTGCGCATTTCTCATCACAGCTCTAAAACTGCACAAGCTTTCAAGTGTAGGAGATGCTGTTTTTTTTTCTTTAAATATATTAGACCTATTTTCTCAATTCGTCTTCAGTGTTTTGATCCCCAATGTGAAACAAAAGGCACATGTGCCAGCTTGCCATCAAGATGTGTTGTAACTTCTTTTAGATCAAAAGCAGATTAGGAGAAACCAATTATAATATTTTTTTAACTACAAAATATTTTCCTGGGCCATCTTTAGAGAATTTTACTGGTTGTAGAATGTTCAGTTCTTGAAGGAGGGAAGGAAGTGACCCTTGTGTGGAGTAAAACTAATGATGATGGAGAATATTATTTTGATGGGTAAAAACTTATGTAGTCAAAGAGGCAAAAGGTCTGCAGCTGGGAATAACCTGTAATGGGTCAGCTGGATCAGTTCTGTTTTACGTAGGAAATTAATCAATTTGATTGTTAAAAAGTAAGCAACCTCATCCCGGGTTTTCATTTTAACACAAAAGTTTTAAACATCCTGCCTCTTCAAACTCCAAACTAAAGCATTTGTTTTTCTTTTCAGTTTTACCAAATGCTGAAGTCTGCTTAGTTGCATGAAAAAACAATATTTTTTGTGTTTATTGCTTTTCTCATGTCTTATTTTTAAATGCTGGCATGTATTTTGAAGTATAGATGCTCGTTCTCAAAAATATTACTGGCACCTGTCTCCCTCAAATGAAGTTATTGCATGTTAAACTTAGACATAGACTTAGACAGTACTTTATTGATCCCTTGGGAAGACTCCCTCAGGAAATTAAACTGCCATTAAACTACCTCTCATTTGAGGGTTGGGGACATTTTTAGAAAATTGATTCATAATAATGCAACATGGCTCAATATATCTCTTGCACTTATTTTTTTCTTTTTCTTTTTCCCTTCTACAGGACTTTAAGTATAAAAGGAACCACCATTTAAAGGCACATTAGACCCTCTGAATGGAACTTAAGCCAGGGGTTGCCATGGAGACCACTAAACTGAGTCAATCTTCCAGGTTTAAAAAAAATAAAACAGAAGAAGCCCAATCAAAACCTGCATTGGCATCAAATAAAGCAGCACCTGTTGCTGTGCAGAAGGACAATGGCAATCCCCACTCTGCAAAAGGCAAACCAAAACCAAAGTCTACAACTCCTTCAGGGGTATCTGGATCTAGCTCATGGCCAGGAACTGCCTCACAACATACAGTGAAGGATGTTAAGTCCTTCGTTTCGAGGCCTACAGGAAAGACGGTTACAACTACATCAAAAGCAACATCAGGAGCTGCATCTAAAAGGCCTGTGGGTGTGGCATCAACTTCTACCACAGCTAAAAACCAAACTAAAGTGCCTGACAAAAGGCTTGTTGGATCTACCAGGGCTATGTCCCATCCTGCTGCCACTGCAATAAATGACACCAAACCATCAACAGTGAATGAGGCCCATAAAAAGAGACTTACAACCTTAACAGTTAATGGTGCAAGACACAAAACCCCAGGTAAGACTGAATTAAAATGAGTTCAGTGAAGTTAAACTATAATAGATTTCTTTAAAAAATACTCTCATTAAAAATACTTTCATTATTACAGCTACTACAGGTAAAATGGCCTCCTCCATTGCTCAAGCGCGAACCATTTCAGCCACTACGAAAAAAAACACAAGGTACTTGGATACTAAATTGTAATGTATGGCACGTTTACTTTTTTGTGAGTATTCTCAATGAACAAACTACAGACAACTATCTTATGTCTTTTCTTCCTCGTTTATAACTTGAATCACAGGGAGACTGTTTATCATTGTGATCTGAAAATGAGATTGTGATTACACAATAAATGTTTGTTGTGATTTGTTACAACAGCATGAGTCATATGGGCAGGAATAACCTCAGACGGAGGACCTATTTACACAAAAAAAATTCATGCTTTGTCCCATTATATTCCCTGGCATAAACAAAACCTTGCTGCTCAGGGCCGAATACTGTTGATTTTAATCATAATTTATCCGGTAGGGAGCCAGTACTTTAGTTAACGCTCTAGTGAAACTGAACTTGCCCACATTGCTGATCTTGTCTTTTTTTGTCTGTACAACATATAATAGCAGCTACTTGGTTTAAACAATTTGACTGTGCATCTCTAAATTTGTCTTTGTTTACCTTTTAGCCTAGCAACCAGTCCCGCACCATCTGGAACTACAACACCCAAACATGCAACTGTAAAAACTTCCCTTTCTAGAGCTGCTACAGCACCATCTACTGGCAAGATGGCAGCAACACAGCCTAAGAAAGGTATTGAGGGATTGTCCAGAATAGGAACTGTCTTTTTCTTTGGATAATTTTAAGGGAGGGGAGCATAAAGCACATCTTGGGCATCTTAATTTTTCTAAATGGGAAATTACAATTTACATTTTTTTCCCCTTCCCATCAGATGTTAGCCGACAACCTCCTGCCCCTCTGGTCAAGAAACCTACACCAATTGCTGTTTCACCCTCTACCAAAATACATGACACCTCTAAATGTTTGGCTGCCTTAAGACTCAACACTGCATCGAAAGGGTCCACACCAATGAAGAGGGTAGATGCCAAGGAGTTGCAGTCTAAACATCAGCAGCTGGGAAAACTTACTCCCACAAAGAAGCCTACAACTACAATTCAATTTCCTCTAGTTAACAAACTATCCCTCAACCAACCACTAACAGACTATTCGACCATCAGAGCTACAAATATAAAAACAAAATGTGGAACCAAACCCACTAAAACTGCCCCACGGTTCACCATCACAAAGAAGACAGAAGTTTCTAAGACAAATAAACCTTCCACCGAAGTGTATATGGCAACTGTGGTGACGGCAACTCCACCCCAAGCTGTTCAAGTACCAGAAAAATTGGCAGAGGCTGCAATGATCTTGGCACAAGAATCATCCCTTGTTTCCTCTGCAGCAGAGAACATCTCTACCCTTGGGTCAGCTCCAAATACCACAAAAGAGATGGAAAAACTAGAGGTTACTCCAGATAATGAAGTAACCCAGTTCCCTCCACAAAGCCCTGTTGGAACAAATCTGCCACAAACATGTCTGAAGCACAAATTGGAAAACATTGCTCCTCATTCAGCCAAACAGGAGCAGGTCTCAAACCCAGCCAAGCTTGCATTACAATCCATGGCCTTGCCTCCTGAACTGACCGAATATAATGTGGTAAAAGACCAAACTCCATCCAAATCGACTGTCCTTTTAGCAGCAGCCAATGGCACCCAACAGGTGGTCCCTCTTGTCAATCTAAATGAAGAGGAGGATGAAGAGAGGGATGGAAGCCAGTTAGTTTCTGTGTCTGAAATGAGTGGAACCACACAGCTTACTGAGGACTCTCATCCTGGTTCAGTTGGCACAATCGGGGGGTCTGCCTGGAGAGCCTTAGTGTATGAGCTTGATTCTGAGGAGATAAGTGTCAGCCAGCAAGGTGCTTCTGAATTGAGCGCCCCTGGTGTCTTGGAGGGCACAGAAAGCATGGACGATCTGGGAGATGGCAGTCTCAAAGGCGCCATGGACATGGAGGGAGCCTCGGCAGGTTCTCCTGACTTTGAGAAAGTTTCTTACATACAGGGCAATGACTTTGAGGGCGAGGATGACAGTGATAAGGTGTGTGACATGGATGTGGGTTCTGAGCGGATGGATGAACCATGTATTGCCAGGCATGACAATGATTTAGATGAAGATGACGATGATGTGGAAATGGCTAGTGAAGGGGTGACAGAGAGTGGGCTTGAGAGTTATGGAAATGGAGATGAGGATGACTTTGCTGAGGATGAAAGGCTGGATAACTTGAACAGAGTTGCTCAGCCACCACTTCCACCTGTGCTGCCCTCTGCCCCAGCTGCTCAGTGGGATCAACCAAACCCCTTTGCTGATCCATGCGAAGAGCCTCTTCAGGTTTTTAAAGCTGCAGGACCACTTACAGCACAGAACAGGCAAGAAGACCCCGAGATCCTACTTAAGACCCAAGTCTGTCTAGAACAAGTTCTTCCTAAACAAGAGGAATCAAAAAAAGAACAGGCTCAAGCATCAGTGCAAACCCATGCCGCAGCTTCGTTCTGTGTCCCAGGAACATCTGTGTCACACACCCTGAGCAGTGAGATGAGCATACTGAAGGACCAATCGTGTAATCAAGACAGCAAGCTTCCCTCTGAGGTTACACAAGCCCAGTTGCTTTTCTCAGCGTGTGATGCTTACTGCCAAGGCCTGGGCTTCCACTTTGGACAAGGAGATGAGGATGCAGTGGAGGCTGAAAAAGAGTGTTTGCCTGCTGATGAACTCCTAGGAGGCTCTGCAACTGCTCCCACTTCCAATCTTTCTTTGACCACACAAACAGAGGATGAGGCTCGTGATACAGAGGGAGAAGCTCAATTAGAACATTTTTTGGAGACTCTGGAAGTCAACAGTATAAACTTTGAGATGCAGCTTCCAGCCCAACACTGCCCATCTACTCTGGTAGAGGGAAATGAGCCTGAGGTAGAGAGTGGTGTTGGTGAAGAAAGTACTCCATCCTCAGCTGCCCTATTGGTATCTTATAGCTTTGGCACTATGACAATGGCTTCAAATTCAAATGCTCAGCCCACAGGGGAGAGCTGCGTCAAGAGCCCTAGCTTTATCTTGTTGGAGGAGCATCCTCAGGAGGTTAAGCAGCCTCACACAGAACAATGTCCTACAGATCAGCTGTATGGAGGAGATTCAGCAAATCATGTTATTGAGAAAACGCAGGCCTCTGAGGAAGTCCTGGATCCCACATTAGCTTTAAATAATATGCCACAAACAGAAGAAATTCCTGATGACATCGAACCTCTATACCATTCTGCTATATGTGAAAACACCGAAAAACCTTTTGCAGGTAATGTATAGTTTTTGCTCTCAAGCTGCTCATTTGTGATCCCTTACCTTCCTAAGGTCTTGCAGTAGCTTTTTTACATTAGATATAGTTGCTTGTCAACAGCGTTTGTTCTGAAAACCTTAGGGGTAAAAGTATTAAAAGAAACTTACAGAGTGCAAAAACATACATGAAGGTGAGTTGAAAAAATAGACAGCAATTCTCTTTGATAACCTTACTATGACAAGTACATGGCTTCAATTCCTGTATGTGCAATAGCGAGATTCAATTACTTTTTTGGGCGGAAGTATGAGGTTCTCTTGAATTGGGTTTGATATTTCTTGTATGCTGGCAGCTTTTCAAGAAAGAAAATGTAACTAAAGAAATGTGGAAATGTGTCTGATCAAGCTGATGGTCATGTTGGATTATGCTTTCCTATTATACACAGCTTTCTAGTCTGTTTGCACTTAAAATTGTATATCATATTTTTGTTTTATCCATATTTTGAATGAACCGTTAAAGAAATTAAATAGTTTAGATTTTTACCATGATTAATTTTTAAAGAACAGTTATTGAAATTAACACTCTAGACTAATATAAATATTTAGCATTATTTGTCTTGTATACAAATATATTTTCTTTTTCTTTCTATTCCGAAAAGGTTGGCTGGGGTGAATTATTTACCCCTGGTTTGGCAAGCATTTGCAATTCAATGTAATTTCTTTATGCACTTTAGAACCGCATACAAACCCATGTTACACAACGGAAGATATGTACTTTCTTTTTCAAATCTAGATTTAAAAACTGACTTCACTGGTACCATAACTGGGATTAATTTACGACAGGCTGATTTTTTTTTTCTCAGCCAGATCCTGAAATCTGTTGATTTCAGGATCTGGGAGGCTAGAGATGTCTGACATCTCTTCATCCAACCTTGAGGAGGAAGAATCAAGACCGCTCAGTAATTTCCCTCCAGGTCACAGAGGGTGTGTTACTATTTAAACTTTGTTTTGTTTAGTTTTTTATCCTTGCAGCACTGATCTTCACCACCACATTAAAAGCTTATGCATGTCACTGCTGCACAATGAGTTTATTGCATCTCCTTTTTCCAGATAAAAAGACAAATGCTTGACTCCAGAACTTTCTGCTTGAAGTATAGGAGCACCCTAATGTAACCTCTTTTTTTAGATTTTTTTATTGGCAAGCAATAACTTTTCTTTTTATTGCTGGACAGCTTTAAAATGCATGGGAAGTCTTTGCATGCAACACTAATAAACCAACCATAAGCTTCGACAGGTTTTTTTATTTCTTTTAAAGCAGTTTTGTTCGTGTGTCACCATAGCTGATTGCAAATACAGGAAGTTTGGCTGATTTTTGCACATACAATTTGTTTAGGTAATACTTCTAAGATTAAAAATTAATGAATATACAGGTAAAAGCCAGTAAATTAGAATATTTTGAAAAACTTGATTTATTTCAGTTATTGTATTCAAAAGTTGTAACTTGTACATTATATTTATTCATTGCACACAGACTGATGCATTCAAATGTTTATTTCATTTAATTTTGATGATTTGATGTGGCAACAAATGAAAATCCAAAATTCCGTGTGTCACAAAATTAGAATATTTCTTAAGGCTAATACAAAAAAGGGATTTTTTAGAAATGAAAAGTATGAAAATGAAAAATATGAGCATGTACAATACTCAATACTTGGTTGGAGCTCCTTTTGCCTCAATTAATGCATTAATGCGGCGTGGCATGGAGTCGATGAGTTTCTGGCACTGCTCAGGTGTTATGAGAGCCCAGGTTGCTCTGATGGTGGCCTTCAACTCTTCTGCGTTTTTGGATCTGGCATTCTGCATCTTCCTTTTCACAATACCCCACAGATTTTCTATGGGGCTAAGGTCAGGGGAGTTGGCTGGCCAATTTAGAAAAGAAATACCAGGGTCCGTAAACCAGGCATGGGTAGATTTTGCGCTGTGTGCAGGCGCCAAGTCCTGTTGGAACCTGAAATCTCCATCTCCATAGAGCAGGTCAGCAGCAGGAAGCATGAAGTGCTCTAAAACTTGCTGGTAGACGGCTGCATTGACCCTGGATCTCAGGAAACAGAGTGGACTGACACCAGCAGATGACATGGCACCCCAAACCATCACTGATGGTGGAAACTTTACACTAGACTTCAGGCAACGTGGATCCTGTGCCTCTCCTGTCTTCCTCCAGACTCTGGGACCTCGATTTCCAAAGGAAATGCAAAAGTTGCTTTCGTCAGAAAACATGACTCAGCAGCAGTCCAGCTCTTTTTTTCCTTAGCCCAGGTGAGACGCTTTTCGCGCTGTTTCTTGGTCAACAGTGGCTTGACACGAGGTATGCGGCAGTTGAAACCCATGTCTTTCAAGCGTCTCTTGGTGGTGGATCTTGAAGCACTGACTCCAGCAGCTGTCCACTCCTTGTGAATCTCCCCCACATTTTTGAATGGGTTTTTTTTCACAATCTTGACTAGGGCGCGGTGATCCCTATCGCTTGTACACTTTTTCTGACCACAGTTTTTCCTTCCCTTTGCCTCTCTATTAATGTGTTTGGACACAGAGCTCTGAGAACAGCCAGCCTCTTCAGCAATAACCTTTTGTGTCTTTCCCTCCTTGTGCAATGTGTCGATGGTCGCCTTTTGGACAGCTGTCAAATCTGAAGTCTTCCCCATGTTTGTGTAGGCTTCAGAACTGGACTGAGAGACCATTTAAAGCCCTTTGAGTTAATCAGCTGATTAGTTTGTGGCACCAGGTGTCTTCAAAATTGAACCCTTACACAATATTCTAATTTTGTGACTCACGGAATTTTGGATTATCATTTGTTGCCACTTCAAATCATCAAAATTAAATGAAATAAACATTTGAATGCATCAGTCTGTGTGCAATGAATAAATATAATGTACAAGTTACACCTTTTGAATGCAATTACTGAAATAAATCAAGTTTTTCAAAATATTCTAATTTACTGGCTTTTACCTGTATTTGTTAAAAAGCACTTGCTCTCTGCAGACATTGTTCAGCCTTGGCTACACCCAGTCACCTCACATTTGGTCTAGTTTTTGCACCACACCACTGAAAGATCCACATGCTTTTGAGTTTCTGCTGCTTTAAGTGGAAATATCGATGAGTTGGTCAGAATATATAACTCCTGACATTATATTAAAACTGGCTTGATAAGGCACTAGCCACCATTTTGCTAGTAATTACTGCATTGCTGCATGTTGTTTCTGTTATAACATCCTGCTACTGTAATCTTCCTTTCTGCTTCCTCTTGCATACAGGGTTCTCTGCTGTATCGCACCCTCACTGTCAGTCTGCACACCCCAGAATTTACAACGACATTGTCAAACCCATTTCTATCGCTATCACTCTGCCTAAACTGGCCTGTGCTGACGTCCAACCCAGGAACCCCAGGCAGCAGCCACTGAGTTCTCAACTCCTCAGGCTGGAGCAGCATCAGAAGCAGCTACCTGATTTGCAGCAACACAAAGAGCCAAAGAGCAAGCCACAGAAGGAGGCAGTGCAAGAGAAAAAGAAGAGGGTGAAAGAGGAGGAAAGAAAGGAAAAAGAGCACGCTGAAGAAGAAATAAAAGGAAATAAAGAGGAGAAGAAGAAGAAGCACACAGAGATGATAAAGCAGGATGAGATACAAAATTGGGAGCTTGAGGTAAAACATAGGAGAGACCTTGAACTGCAAATGCAACAGCAGGAGCTGAAGGAACAACAGAAAATTATCCAGAGGCAGCAAGAGCTGCACCACCCCAAAGGTCAGACCGCACTGTTGTCTTCTCCATCTGGCCTCTGCACCATCTATGAAACCCTGGAGTGCAGTGATGGGGAGGCTGATGGCGAGGACCTGCTTGATCCTAAAGGTGATACTAAAAATGAAGAACTTAATAAAAATGCATCTCAAAGGCTGCGTGACAGGACTAAAGGGTTGTGGCCAAGTGATGATGCACATCAACAGTCTTCAATTGTTAACATCCTGCTTCCCTATTCAGACTCCACCATGGTATCCAGCAACATAGTGACGAATCAAGATGGATCCTCTTTTCAACCTGCTCAGTTTCCAGAGAGACCACCAGCTCTTGACTTGGACTGGGGAAAGAAGGTAGATATGGTTCAGCAGCTGATAAATCAGACCCTACTGCTGAATGCGGATTGTTGTTCTTCCCTGTTGTTGTTGCCCAGTGGAACCGGAGGAAAGCTAAGCCCCCTGGAGAGCAGTCTGTGGCCAAGCTTACTTCCTCCACTCGCCCCCCCTTCTGCCACTGTCACCTCCGTTAGCAGTTTCTCCACAGAGGACACTGGCAGCTCCACACAGGGAGAGTGGACAGTAGTGGAACTGGAGACGCATCATTGAGACCCATTTCACTGCATGGGCAAACACTGCAACAGTACTACAGGAGTTGCATGTACACACAAATGAGAATAACACAAACACTGCTGCTTGGATAAATGGATGTGGAAATTCAATACAGGAGCACGCAAATTCTGTGGAACATACAGTTTTCTCTTTACTTTAAAGTACACATGAAAAAGCCATTTAGACTGAGTTAAATATTGGAGTTTGGAAAAAGGCTAATTCTCTGACACCAATGTTTTTTCTAGACACAGTCAAATACAAGTTGCAACAAGTGGATACAAGTAAAGACAACGTTGTTCAATGTGCAAAATGCACAGAGAACTGGTCTGGATGTTGTGATAGTTTTTTTTGTTTTCTTTTTTTGTTCAAATATGCTGGGTCAGGAAATGGGACAGAGTTTTCAGACGCTGAAAGTAAAAGGTTAGTTCAGTTGAACTTCAATTGGTTTTTTCACAAGCCAGTTCTTTTTACTGTTTTATTGGAACTTGAATAAATGGCCTGATTCCAAATTGAATTTAGGTGCCATTTAAATTAGATGGCACCTAATATGGCTGGTATAAACATTTTTAATGAGAAAACTATGATGGATGTGAAAATGGTAGATGTTTAGCTGTACTAATTTAAATTATGATAAACCTTCTGATTTTGTCATGAACCCAAAACAAAACATAGTATGACACAACTGCAATTTGTCCACCTCACTTGGTGTCCGGTTGTGGATATCCAAACATAATGTTCATTATGGCACAATGCAAAGATAAACTACTGAATTCAAAATGTACAACTGGAAACTAATTTGTTCTGAAACTGCCTATAATATAAATAAAACAAATGGATTGTTTTATCACTTGGTTCTATTTTTCAAGCCACTATCATTTTTTATAGTTGTGAGCATGCATCCTCACATCGTTTATTAAGTTAAGATAGTGATATCCTGACCCTGATATCCTGAAATATCACTGCTTCCCAGTCTTCCTGGAGATTGCAGTTAATCTAAATGACTTGTTAGCGTTTATTTAATTTTTCAAGCTGAAGTCAAAGAAATTCAGCAGAGATGACATAAAGCTCTGGGTATGACCTGTTTTATATTGACCAAAGTTGTTGTGTGTGTATGTATGTGTGTGTGTGTGTTATGAAAACCATGATAACCTACTATATGAAATGTGTGGTTGTTTACATCTGTGCATTGTCTTTGTGTTGGTCTGTTATTGCTATCTATTGAGAGTGCTTTATAAAATCTTGCCATGGTTTACACGTCTAAAAACATTTGTCAACTTTGGTCAGTGCTATTACTCTTTTCCTATTTCCTGATGTTTAATAGATAATTTGATCAGACTTCAGAAAATGAATCAATGTTTTCTACTAGGGACATTTTGTTAAATGTATTGCCTCCTAAAGTGGGTTAATTGTGTTTTGTATTTATATATGGATATATTGTTTCAAATACTGATCACTTTAATGAAGGAGGGTCCACTTTTGTTTTTATCAGTTGCCGCTTTATAGGTGTTTCTATTGAATTCCAACGCAGGATGTTGGGTGTAAATTGTGTGTTTTATTCTTTAGCATCAACTCACTTAAATTTCGATTTACTGGCAAGCTGAGCATTGGTGTGTCTACGATTACGTCTTCACCTGAAAGAAGTAAATGGGACAAAGCTCACTGGAGCCTAACCCTGGCAGCTAACTAATTCTTTGAGAAATTTGTATTTATGTGTAGTGTTTCACTGCAAGTTTACAATAATAAAATGCTTCTTCTTTTTTTTTTTTTTTTTACAACTTTGGAATTATTTACAACTACTTTTTCAAATATACATTTTACATTAAGTTGGTGAAACTTGGAACAAGACCTACATGCCATTTTTAAACGGTAAAATATATCCACACAATAAACATATATCCTCTTTTACTACTTAAACTTAGGCATGAAAGTCAAACTGGACCGACGTGATGCAGTAGCTGCTGCAAGCAGTTTGTAGCAATGCAACTAGATGGCTCTTCATGTCCCAGAAACAACAGCCTATGATAATTGGCCTGAGGGACCTCGCATGTGATCCTGAAACAAACAAACAAACTTATATGTGTCAGACATCTTTGACAGGGAGCATTACAGTTAAGATATGATTGACTTGCTTATTCATTATTCAAAGTAAATAGAAAAAGTAAATGACTTTACCAGTCAGAAATATCCTCTGTTTTGGGATCAGGATTCACCTGCACCCACTGGCCAATGGACCACATTCTTGTTAGGCTATCCCGAGAGACATCTTGGCTAACCCTATCGGCCTCTTTGTGTGTATTTGAAATGTCCTCGTAGCACAAGAAATAGCTAAAATGGACAAAGTAAGAGAAGCTTATAGCTTGGACAGCTTTTAGACGGGACAAAGTATAAGTAGACAACACAAAATAAAGGGTGGAGAAGCTTTCAGAACCACACCCACTAGTCAGTGTGGGAATCTGTTTTCTCCTGTCTGTCGTCACAGTCTCCATCCTGATGCTTCTCATATAAGATTCTTTCTACATTCCAGCGCATGCGTTTATACAGTCCGCTGTTGACCCGGGCCAGGTATGGAGTCGGTTTACAATAACGAAAAATTGTTAGCTTCATCTGACCCAGCTGGCTCTGACCAATGCAGAAGTGAGACATGCTGGGAACACAAATGGTTAGAGAAAAGGATTTCCTAAAACAGATATTAATTAGAGTTTTTTTATTTGTTTGTACTGCCTGTTAAATGTATCTATATTGTATAAGCTACTGATAACAGTGCAAATATGAACATGTCATTTGTGATTACATACCTGTTGGGCTCAGTCTCATTCAAACTGAAAAAATCGAAGCTGGCGTAAAGCAACACCAGCTGCTCCAACCTGTCAAACAGCTGTTGACAGAAACATTAAGTTGACGCCAACATGGCAAAGGAACGCTTCAATCATATTTTGATTATCATTAAAGTCATGGCCATCCAAACAATTCTCTAAATTCTATTTTATCCATGAAAATAAGCTTTAAGTTTCTTAAGCATTTTTGTGTCTGGAAAAAAATGTATCTAATTTCCCATTTCAAATCTAAAATGGGGACATATCGGTTTTATTATACAATGGCATTTCTGAAACCTGATAGAATAAATTTAGAAATATTAACATACCCACATACCACCAATGGAAACAGTACTTGAAAAATTGAATATGGTTCAGAAAATACTTAGAACAAATGTCAAAATGATAAGTGCTTTGTAATACCACACTAGCTGATGATTCCAGGCAACTAAAAAAAGCTCTGCAGTTGTATAGGAGGTTTGAGAGTGCAGTAACAAGAACCTGTCTCTCCAGGTGGTTCTGCCTGTAAAAGAACAAAAATCTGTAAAACTGCTAAGAGTAAAAGTAAAAACGTAACAATTATCACTAATCAGACAATCAGGAACCTACCCGCTATTGAGGCCGTTTTGTAAGTTATATGCTTTGCTTAAGAGGAACTGGAGTTGCAGCTGAATGGAAAGAAGCATCCCTTCCAACCGTTTGACCTCATGGCAGCTGCGTGACATATGTCCACCACAAGATGGCGCCAAAGCAACGTCAGCTAACAACAACAAAGAATCTTCAGTTTAAAACGTAAATAAGTTACGTTGGAAACAGAGGGGGAAGATGAGGAGAAAAGTTATTTTAATAAGCTTTATCCGTTTACATATTTTCTGTGTACCCCATATATAACAGGCATTTGTAGGTAAATATAAATATAGCTACACATAGAATATGAACAAGCAAAAAGATCATATTTAAAGTATTAGGTGAAAGATTAAAGTTGTTGTCAGGGGCGCGCTGAAGTTTAACCTCGATGTCCAAAGTAAAGCAGACTTTCTGAGCATCCTGACGTCTCGCAGGATGTGTTGTCTTTCAGTACATCCCAATATACAAGTTGAAATGGTGAATTACCCTCCAGGGACTTAACCTGTGATTCAATATCTGTCATGCTTTCTACTCTTCACGCAATTCGTTGGCATTAACTAAGTTGAGAATCTGTTGAGAATAAAACTACACTCATTATTTTAGGCACACTAGTATATCTTCTACAAAAAGTAACCTGTTAATGCTAGCTGACATAAAAAGTGAGCTAGCTAACGCCATTTGTGAGCTAGCTAACTGTCAGTTGAAATACAGATGACTTATTACTTTTTCTAAATATCTTTCTTTCAAATTAGTTCACAATCTAATTACGTCCATTTTTGTAAGATGATAATATTTCAAAGGAACTCACTAAAGAAGAATGTCCTAGATTTTAGCATTGTATTTAGGATTTTTTCTATTGTTGTCGTTACCTTTGTCTTCCCTTAGTCAATGCCAAATGTCAGAGTTCTATTCCACTACTTCTGCTGCTACTTAGATCCTATTACTTTTTTTTTTTGTTCCACCACTAATAATAATGTTATTAGAGTGTTTCTGCATTTGTCATGTAATTTTTTATTGGTTATTTTTCATTTCAGAAAAGTGCAGAATTACGTTTTATATGTTGACATAACATTATTCACTATATCAAAGCTTTGTGTGCTTTTATATTTTACTCTTTAAATTTCTATTGATAGATGGATATTTACTTGGAATGTCCAATCAACCTAACATGCAGGTTTTTGGACTGTGAAGTGAACCCTGAGAGAACACAGGGAGAACATGCAAACTCCACCCAGAAAAGTCCTGGGTCCCCCTGGGCTAACCACCACACCACTGTGACCGTCAAAAGATATCACACTATAAAAATTGAAAAAAATTAATGTGATAAACATAAAACAGGATTTTTGTGTTACTTCAAAGTAATTATTCAAAACTGGGTCAAACTGCTCCCCCCGCGACCCCATCAGAGAATAAGCGGTATTGATAATGGATGTATGGATGGAGGTCAAACTGCTTTGTAAGTGTGATTTAGCAAATTCCAGGCCTTGTCAGACAAAATCACACTGGTAAAAACTTGCATTCAAAAGATATCACACTTTCCTGTCTAAATCCAGAAAGAAGCAGCTTTCACCTAGATATGCACAAAACAGTAAATTGCTATAACTTCAAAGTAATGAATAAAACCTAGGTAAAATGCCTTTCAAAGTGTTTTTAACACATTTCCTGCATTGTCGGAAAGAATCACAAAGGTTCTAACTTGCAGTCAAAAGATATTACACAAACAAAATTCCAAAAATCCCTGAGATAAACATGAAACAGGATTTTTGTGTTACTTCAAAGTAATGATTCAAAACTAGGTCAAACTGCTTTGTATGGTTAATTTAGCACATTCCCTGTCATGTCAGAAAGAATCACACTAGTACTAACTTGCAGTCAAAAGATATCACACAATCAAAATTCCATAAATCACTTATATAAACATCAAACAGGATTTTTGTGTTACTTCAAAGTAATGATTCAAAACTAGGTCAAACTGCTTTGTAAGTGTAATTTAGCACATTCCCTGTCATGTCAGAAAGAATCACTCTGGTACTAACTTGCAGTCAAAAGATATCACACTATCAAATTTAAAAAACCACTGAGATAAACATGAAACAGGATTTTTGTGTTACTTGAAAGTAATGATTCAAAACTAGGTCAAACTGCTCTGAAAGTGTTATTCAGCACATTCCCTGCCTTGTCAGAAAGAATCACAGTGGTACTAACTTGCAGTCAAAAGATAGCACACTATCATAAATCAATGAGATAAACATGAAACAGGATTTTTGTGTTACTTGAAAGTAATGATTCAAAACTAGGTCAAACTGCTCTGGAAGTGTTATTTAGCAGATTCCCTGTCTTGTCAGACAAAATCACACTGGTACTAACTTGGATTCAAAAGACTATCATAAATCACTGAGATAAACATGAAACAGGCTTTTTGTGTTACTTGAAAGTAATGATTCAAAACTAGGTCAAACTGCTTTGTAAGTGTAATTTAGTACAATCCCTGCCTGACAGACAAAATCACACTGGTACTAACTTGCAGTCAAAAGATATCCCACTATCATAAATCACTGTGATAAAAATGAAACAGGATTTTTGTGTAACTTGAAAGTAATTATTCAAAACTAGGTCAAACTGCTCTGAAAGTGTTATTAAGCAGATCCCCTGCCTTGTCAGACAAAATCACACTGGTACTAACTTGCAGTCAAAAGATATCACACTATCATAAATCACTGAGATAAACATGAAACAGGATTTTTGTGTTACTTGAAAGTAATGATTCAAAACAAGGTCAAAGTGCTCTCGAAGTGTTATTTAGCTAATTCCCTGCCTTGTCAGACAAAATCACACTGGTTCTAACTTGCAGTCAAAAGGTATCACACTATCAAAATCTCAAAAAATGTTATTCAGCACATTCCCTGCCTTGTCAGAAAGAATCACACTGGTACTGACTTACAGTCCAAAGTTATCACACTATCAAAATTCCCAAAACCTCTGAGATAAAAATCAAACCATATTTTTGTGCTACTTCAAAGTAATGATTCTAAACTAAGTCAAACGGTAAGTTTAAATTAGCCGATTCTCTGCCTTTTCAGACAAAATCACACTGTTACTAACTTGCAGTCAAAAGATATCAGACTTTCCTGTCTAAATCCAGAAATAAGTAGCTTTCGCTGAGATATGCACAAAACAGGATTTTGCTGTAAATACAACCTAGGTGAAATGACTTTCAAAGTGTTAATTAGCATGTTCCACGCCTTGTCAGAAAGAATTACACTGGTTCTAACTTGCAGTCAAAAGTTATCACACTATCAAAATTCCCCAAATCACTGAGATAAATATCAAACAGGATTTTTGTGTTACTTCAAAGTGATGATTCCAAACTAGGTCAAACTGATTTGTAAGTGTAATTTAGCACATTCCCTGCCTTGTTAGAAAGAATCACTCTGGTACTAACTTGCAGTCAAAAGATATCACACTTTCCTGTCTAAATCCAGAAAGAAGCAGCTTATGCAGTAAACAGGATTTTGCTGTAACTTCAGAGTAATGAATACAACTTAGGTAAAATGACGTTCAAAGTTTAATTTATCACATTCCCTGCCTTGCCAGAAAGAATCACACTAGTACTAACTTGCAGTCAAAAGGAATCACACTATCAAAATCCCCAAAAGTGTTATTCAGCACATTCCCTGCCTTGTCAGACAAAATCACACTGGTACTAATTTGCAGTCAAGAGATATCACACTATCAAAATCCCAAAAAGTGTTATTCAGCACATTCCCTGCCTTGTCAGAAAGAATCACACTGGTACTAACTTGCAGTCAAAAGTTATCACACTATAATAAATCACTGAGATAAACATAAAACAGGATTTTTGTGTTACTTGAAAGTATTGATTCAAAACTAGGTCAAACTGCTCTGGAAGTGTTATTTAGCAGATTCCCTGCCTTGTCAGAAAAAATCACACTGGTACTAACTTGGAGTCAAAAGACTATCATAAATCACTGAGATAAACATGAAACAGGATT